GGCTCGACGCTTACACGTCGGAAGGGTTGCGTTGCGTAGAGTGTCAGAAATTCTCTTATAACGTTCCTCACATCCATATGAAGAGTTACTCACCTATGAAACAAAAGGCATAACAATGCTAAAATGAAATACAGTGAGAAGAAGTGAACAAGAGAATGAGTGAACTATGAACGAAGTGGGTACAAATAGGAAACCCTAACTGGGTTGTACCCCCTATGGGATACCCCACTATAGCCTACATAAATGAGTAAGCTATAATGTTCTGACACACCCCCATAGGCAAAGTGGGGGAGAACAAGGGGTCACAAGACCAGTCAAGCAAAGCAAAGCAAAGCTCAGGGTGGATCACAAAGTCACCACACATTCCGAGCACAAGTTCAAAAGGCCAGAAGGCCAGTTCACATGCAAGATCATATATAAAGATATACAAGAGTCAAGCAAGTAAGAGCAAGAGTATATATAGGTGAAGGTACAAGCAAGGTCAAGAAGTGAGCAAGTGAGGCAAGACAGACACAAGACCCAACTGCGTGCAACAACGCTGATGATCACAAGGCGCAAGTGCCTTAGTGAAGACATCAGCAGTGTTGGCCTCAGAGGCCACGTACGCAAGTCGCAACTGTCCACGCTGCTGCAGCTCACGAGCAAGAAAGTAGCGGAGGGCAATGTGCTTCGTTCTGTGCTCCAGTCGCTGCTCTCGACACAAGGCCAGCATAGCCTTGTTGTCTACGTACAGGACTGGAGGAGAACGAGGCTGCTCTCCAAGGTCGGTCAGCAGGTAGGTGAGCCAGCGTAACTCCTGTGCAGCCATAGCCCCAGCGTAGATCTCAGCCTCACAACTGGAGCCGAGAACAGAAGACGAGCGAGTAGCCCGCCACGAAACAGAGCCGGAACCAAGGCTGAAGGTGTAACCCTGTGACGACCGCTGCGTAGCCTGGTCGTCAGCCCAAGAAGCGTCTGCGTGCCCAGTGAGGACCACTGGACTGCGCCCTCCAAGCACTAGCCCCATGCCCGACGTACTGCACAAGTAGCGCAACACCCTCTTCGCTGCAGCCATGTGCTCTGGTCGGTGTCTCCCAGGAGCAACAAAGCGTGCGAGAATGCTAAGAGGGTATGCAAGGTCAGGACGTGTGCAGGTCATCAGGTACATGAGGCAGCCAACAAGCTCTGCAAACGGGCCACTCGACTCTACGGACTCATCCGAAGGCAGAGCTGAGAGCGAGTGGCGAGTAGGCAGAGGAGTGGCCTGAGGCGAGGAGTACGTGAAGCCGAAGCGCTGAAGGACCTGCTGCACCATGTGTGACTGAGTCAGGGTAATGGTGCGGCGCGCTCTGTCCCGGGTGATCTGCAAGCCAAGGTAGCTACGCAGTTCACCCAGGTCAGTGCACGTATGTCTCTTCTGCAGCTTGGACTTCACGTAGGCGAGTCCAGCAGTGTCAGCTGTGGCAAAGACCAAGTCGTCGACGTACACGAGGATGTAGAACGGCGGCAGAGAGGTGTCAGTGCGCAGAAACAGCGACGGGTCGGCAGTAGACGGAGCAAACCCAAGTGCCGCGAGCGTAGTCCTCAGTGTGTCGTGCCACTCACGTGGCGCCTGGCGGAGACCGTAGACTGGACGCCGGAGACTCCACTGGGTACCAGGAGGGAAAGACCCAGTGAAGCCAGGTGGGCGGCGCAGCCAGATCTCCTCGTGCAGGCTGCCCTGCAAGAAAGCTGTGCTGAAGTCGAGAGAGTGCAGCTCGTAGTCACGGTGAGCAGCAACGTGCAGCAGAACCCGAAGAGTGGTCATCTTCGGGGTGGGGGAGAAGGTCTGAAAGTAATCAACCCCCTGCCGCTGACTGAAGCCACGAGCCACGTAACGCGCCTTGAAGACAGGCGGAGAACCCGGCGGCCGCTTCACCCTGAAAATCCACATGCCACTGACGATGTTCGCCCCAGGAGGGGGGACAGCGTCGACGTAGGTGCCTGTGGACTTCCAGGAAGCCATCTCTGCATCCATAGCTGCCTGCCACTGAGAGGAGTAGGGACCCTCTATCGCCTCCGCGTAAGAGCGCGGAGTCGGGATGTCTGGTGCATCCGGGTCTCCCTCAGGGGCTAGCAGTACAGACGCGAGATGGGGTGAAGCGGCGGCCAAACACTGGAACTCCTCCTGCCTGTCCTCAAGGACGTCCGTGCCGAGGGCACACTCACCCCCGACGGACGGAGGACAGGCAGACTCAGACTCAGCGACAAGACTGGCAGCGTAGTCTAGACGACAGCGCGCAGCAAAGTCGACAAGCTCAGTGACAAGGGCAGACGCAGCAGACGACTCGAAGGAAGGGTCAGTGACAGCAGTAGCAAGGAGACGCGTGACAGTAGGACTGGCAGCACGAAGAGAGTCCGACTCCGGGTCGGCAAGAGCAGGAAGAGAGGAAGCTGGAGGAGAAGGCAAAGGGGCACGCAGAGGAGCAGTGGACAAACGCAGTGACATCCGGTGCGTGCCAGGGACAGGAGGAGGACGCTGACGCGACCCGCGACCACTAGCGCGCTCAGTACGAACAGGCGACGCAGGACGAGACGCAGGCTCACGACGCTCAGTAAGGCCTCCAGTCGGACCAGCGTAGGGAGAAGGAGCAGGCAAAGGGGAGGCAGGCTGTAGCTGTGGCTGTGACCGGACAGGCTGCTGACCCTCTAAGGGAGGAGGAGGAGGTGGAAGACCAAGAACCTGCTGCAGGAGCGGAACGAAGTACGGTCGGGGCCGCGCGGCGACGCCAGAAACAGCAGGAACAGCACCAGCACCCCCGGCAGGAGCACCCACTCCAGTAGCACCTCCAGCAGCACCACCAGAAGCTCCAGAACCTCCAGTAGCAGCACCAGGAGCACTGTCAGTCGGACCGCCAGCGGCAGGCTCAGCGCCAACACCCTCAGCAGCACCAGCTCCAGGAGAACTCGCAGACCCAGCAGCTCCAGCACCCACAGGACGAGCACCGCCGGGACGCGCGGCAGCAGTACCCTCTGCAGCCGAAGAACCACCAGCACCAGCAGCACGCCTCCAGCGCCTGGTAAACCACTCACGCAGCTCCTGTGGGGAGAGTGGCTCCCGGCGAGACGAAGCACCCCCAGGCTCAGCACCCCCAGGCTCAGCACCCCTAGGCACAGCACCCCCAGGCTCGGCACCTCCAGGCTCAGCACCCCCAGGCACAGCACCCCCAGGCTCAGCACCTCCAGGCTCAGCACCCCCAGGCTCAGCACCCCCAGGCCCAGCACCCCCAGACTTCGCACCCCCAGGCTCAGCACCCCCAGACTCCGCACCCCCAGGCTCAGCTCCCGCAGCAGCACCAGAGTCACCAGTGACCTCGACAGGCTCGACCGCGTCTACCTGGGACACACCTGAAGGGGCAGGACCCTGAGGGGGGAGGGGGACTACCGGGGGGGGACCTGGTACCAAGAAGAGCGGGGGTGGGGGGAGGGACGGAGTGCGGTAGGGGAAGAGGCGGTAGTAGGGTACCGACTCGTCGAACGTGACGTCCTGGGAGGACAGAACACGTCGAGAGGAGGGGTGGTAGAACTGCCACCCAGGGGCGTCGGGGGGGAACCCTAGGAAGACGCAGGGAGCAGCGCGAGGGGACAGCTTGTCCGCAGACAAGTCGCGGACAAACGCCCGAGATCCCCAGACCCGGAACGCCGACGCATCGCCAACCTTCCCCGTCCACAGCAGGGCTGGGGAGGTCTCCGGCCTGGAGACCCTGGGGTGGAGGTTGATCTGATGCGCTGCGTACCTGACCGCAAACGGCCACAGAAAATGGGGGGCAGCCGCATGCATCATGGACGTACGGGCGACGTCCATGACCATGCCAATGCGGCGCTCAGCAATCCCATTTTGCTGCGGGGAGTCCGGAAGCGTGAAGGACTGGCGGATGCCTCGCGCCCGACAGTAGGCACGCAGAAGGCCAGAGGAGAACTCTCCGCCTCTGTCCGAGTGCAGACGCAACACAGGAAAGTCGGAGCCAAAGCTCTGCCTGAGCTGAAGACGAGCTGCGCGGATCCAGTCGATCAGCACCTCAGTGACCTCACCCTTGCTGCGCAAGGGGAAGACTGTGGTGTAACGCGAGTAGTCGTCAACAACGAGCAGGAAGTAGCGCTCCTGACCCTGTCCACGGACGCGGGCTGGGCCCCACACGTCCATGTGAAGCGTCTGCAACGGGGCCTCTGTCGGAGGAAACTGGGAGGAGTGAGGGGCAGCACGCTGGCGCCCCTCGACACAGGGGACACAGGCAGGGCCAGGGCCCTGAGGAAGGGGAGGTAGAGACCGGGGGAGACCAGACACAAGAAGACGGGAGGCCATGCCTCTGAGCCGAAGCAGAGAGGGGTGGCCAAGGCGGTGGTGCCAGAGGAGGGTCTCGTGAGACAGACGACGACACGAACAGGGGGAAGACTCAGGACCAGACCTGGACGCCGCGGCAAACACCTGACCAGACGAAGGGACCCTACCAGACTCAGTACCTGGAGGAGAAGCAGTGGTCAGTGTGTACAGGCTCGACCCTGGCCGACGTGTAAACGTAGCCAGGTGGCGTCCCGTGCTAGCCTCCGTGCAGTGGGTCACTCGCTGACGAGCAGGAGTGAACTGGTGGACACCCGCATCCTGTAGGTCAGCACCACTCACCAGGTTCGTCGAGAACGAGGGGAGGTAGAGACAAGACAGGGTGCCAGAGGGGGCCGCCGGAGACGGAAGTACCGTGGAGAAGCGAGACAGGACAGGCCCCCCAGAGGGGTCAGCCAGGGACACCGCAACCGGCCGACTCAGCGGCGTGAGAGTAGTGCGGTCCCGAAAGAAGGAGCGAGACGCTCCAGAGTCAAGTGTGAAGGTGTGAGAGGCCGAAGCCGACACAGTACCTGAGAGGGCAGACTCACCAGTACCTGAGAGCACAGACGCACTGGCACCTAGAGCAGCAGCCTCACTAGTACCTGACGCAGCAGTACCAATGCCCGGGTCGGGCGGGAAACACCGGTAACAGTCATCCTCATCACTACCAGTCACAGCATACATAGCAGAAAGAATAGCATCAAAGTCAAGATCATAAATGGCTACACCAGCCCTAGACAGCTCCCCCCAGCGGGGGATCTCAGCGGCCTCCGGAAACTGCTGACGCCAGGCGTCGGTCAGGCGGCCAAAGCAGCGGCGGGCTGTGTGGGTGCCTCCACACCTCTCCCCCGCACGGTCGCCGGTGCGAAGAACGTAGGGGAAGGGACCAAACGCACCACCACGCTGACGCTGCAAGTACCACTCACGGAGCTGCTGAGGGGCGGGGACGGTGCGAGAGCGCTGCTGCTGCTGCTGCTGCTGCTGCTGCTGCTGCTGCTGCTGCTGGCGCTGACCACCCCCAGAGCTGCTCCGCTGGGACGAGCCACTCCGACCCCCGCCGCCACCGCCACTCCCGCCTCCACCACCGCCCCCGTCTCCACCGCCACCGCCCCCACCGGTACCCTCGCCCCCGCCTCCTCCGCTACCGCCTCCGCCGCCACCTCCGCCTCCACCGCCTCCACCAGTACCTCCACTCCCGCCACCACCTCCACCGCCACCCCCACTCCCCCCGCCACCCCCACCTCCTCCGCCACTGCCTCCTCTAGCTCCACCCGCTCCCTTGCCCCCCTTGCCCTTGCCAGAGCGGCGTCTACCGCTGGGGGCAGACGCCGCACCGACCGACTCAAAACCAGTGAGGTCGGCTGCAGCGGCAGAGGCGACAGAGGGCAGCAGGGGGGAAGGAGAACACCCCTCAAAGATGGGGGTGCGAGGGTCACCCCGAGAGGCCCCTACAGCGACTATGCTCTTCTCAGCCGCTAGCAGGGACTCCTCAAGGAGGTCGACAGTGAGGGTGGTGGGACAGACAGAGAGAAACTGGTCCCTAACGACACGAAGGGACTCAGGAAGACGGGTGACAAGAAAGTAGAGAGTGATGTACATGGGAGGAGGGTTGGCGGCGCGGAACTCAGCAGGAAGGGCAGCGCGGTAGCGAGCGTCACTAGCGCGGAGGTGGGTAATGAGGTCAGCGACAGTGGGAAAGGCAGCGAGGTCAGGGAAGAGAAAAGGTAGCATGAGGCGGCTCAGCGTAGCGGAGGAAGGGGAGGAGTAGCGTGCAACTACAGCGTCGTACAAGGCCTGAGCGGTCTTGCACTGACTAAAGTGGGCACGCTCGGAGGAAGGGAGGTGGCGACGCACAGCAAGACGTGCAGCAGCATCGCGGGTCGCCCACTTGGAGCGAACGGCGGAATCAGCATCAGTAGGAGGGGCAGGGACAGCGCCAGAGACAAAGTCAAAGAGAGAGACCTCATCGATCACATCACACAGTAAGTACAGCTGCAGGTCTTCAATCCAGACTGCAAAGTCAATGGCTCTACCCTCAGTGTCAAAAGCTAGGACATTGGGGGTGGCCATGACAGCAGCTGACAGTCTCACCGGGCAGGAAGAGTCGGGTAGGTCAGCGGCGCAGGTACACAGCCCAGGAGCAGCAGGAGCCCGACAGGAGCAGGAGTGCCGCTCCTCTGGCGGCTCGGGCAGCTCGGGCGGCTCGGGCGGCTCGGGCGGCTCGGGCGGCTCGGGCGGCTCGGGCGGCTCGGGCGGCTCGGGAGGCTAGGGCGGCGCGGGCGGCTCGGGCGGCTCGGGCGGCTCAGGCGGCTCGGGCGGCGGCACGGGCGGCTGGGGCGGCTCGGTGGCGGCTCACGGGCGGCTGGGACGGCGCGCGGGGAGCTCAGGGGCGGCTGGGCGGGCGGCCAGGGCGGCTCACGGGCGGCGGCGGCGGCGTCGGCGGCTCACGGGCGGCGTCGGCGGCGTCGGCGGCTCACGGGCGGCGTCGGCGGCGTCGGCGGCTCACGGGCGGCGTCGGCGGCGTCGGCTGCTCACGGGCGGCGTCGGCAGCTCACGGGCGGGCTGAAGGCCCACGGGTGGGCGGTTCGCGGGCAGCGCCGGCTCACGGGCGGGCGGCGTGACGGGCGGCAGCGTCACGGGCGGGCGGCGTGACGGGCGGGCGGCGGGACGGGCGGCGGCGTCACGGGGGGGGCGACGTGACGGGCGGCGGCGTCACGGGCGGCGGCGTCACGGGCGGCGGCTCACGGGCGGCTGCGTCACGGGCGGCGCTCACGGGCGGCGGCGGACGAGCGGCGCTAACGGGTGGCGCGACGGGCGGCGGCTCACGGGCGGCGCTACGGGCGGCGGCTCACGGGCGGCGCTACGGGCGGCCGCACGGGCGGCGCTAACGGGCGGCCGCACGGGCGGCGCTACTGGCCGCGCAAAGGGCGGCGCGAACGGGCAGCCGCACGGGCGGCGCTAACGGGCGGCGCTAACGGGCGGCGCCAACGGGCGGCTCGAAAGGGCGGGCGCTAGGGCGGGCGCTAGGGCGGGCGCTAGGGCGGGCGCCAGGGCAGAAAAAAAAAAAGTTCTAGGTGGTGGGCCCGAAGCACAGTTCCCACAGGGGAACCTGCTCTGATTCCATGAGAAGAAGTGAACGAGAGAATGAGTGAACTATGAACGAAGTGGGTACAAATAGGAAACCCTAACTGGGTTGTACCCCCTATGGGATACCCCACTATAGCCTACATAAATGAGTAAGCTATAATGTTCTGACACACCCCCATAGGCAAAGTGGGGGAGAACAAGGGGTCACAAGACCAGTCAAGCAAAGCAAAGCAAAGCTCAGGGTGGATCACAAAGTCACCACACATTCCGAGCACAAGTTCAAAAGGCCAGAAGGCCAGTTCACATGCAAGATCATATATAAAGATATACAAGAGTCAAGCAAGTAAGAGCAAGAGTATATATAGGTGAAGGTACAAGCAAGGTCAAGAAGTGAGCAAGTGAGGCAAGACAGACACAAGACCCAACTGCGTGCAACAACGCTGATGATCACAAGGCGCAAGTGCCTTAGTGAAGACATCAGCAGTGTTGGCCTCAGAGGCCACGTACGCAAGTCGCAACTGTCCACGCTGCTGCAGCTCACGAGCAAGAAAGTAGCGGAGGGCAATGTGCTTCGTTCTGTGCTCCAGTCGCTGCTCTCGACACAAGGCCAGCATAGCCTTGTTGTCTACGTACAGGACTGGAGGAGAACGAGGCTGCTCTCCAAGGTCGGTCAGCAGGTAGGTGAGCCAGCGTAACTCCTGTGCAGCCATAGCCCCAGCGTAGATCTCAGCCTCACAACTGGAGCCGAGAACAGAAGACGAGCGAGTAGCCCGCCACGAAACAGAGCCGGAACCAAGGCTGAAGGTGTAACCCTGTGACGACCGCTGCGTAGCCTGGTCGTCAGCCCAAGAAGCGTCTGCGTGCCCAGTGAGGACCACTGGACTGCGCCCTCCAAGCACTAGCCCCATGCCCGACGTACTGCACAAGTAGCGCAACACCCTCTTCGCTGCAGCCATGTGCTCTGGTCGGTGTCTCCCAGGAGCAACAAAGCGTGCGAGAATGCTAAGAGGGTATGCAAGGTCAGGACGTGTGCAGGTCATCAGGTACATGAGGCAGCCAACAAGCTCTGCAAACGGGCCACTCGACTCTACGGACTCATCCGAAGGCAGAGCTGAGAGCGAGTGGCGAGTAGGCAGAGGAGTGGCCTGAGGCGAGGAGTACGTGAAGCCGAAGCGCTGAAGGACCTGCTGCACCATGTGTGACTGAGTCAGGGTAATGGTGCGGCGCGCTCTGTCCCGGGTGATCTGCAAGCCAAGGTAGCTACGCAGTTCACCCAGGTCAGTGCACGTATGTCTCTTCTGCAGCTTGGACTTCACGTAGGCGAGTCCAGCAGTGTCAGCTGTGGCAAAGACCAAGTCGTCGACGTACACGAGGATGTAGAACGGCGGCAGAGAGGTGTCAGTGCGCAGAAACAGCGACGGGTCGGCAGTAGACGGAGCAAACCCAAGTGCCGCGAGCGTAGTCCTCAGTGTGTCGTGCCACTCACGTGGCGCCTGGCGGAGACCGTAGACTGGACGCCGGAGACTCCACTGGGTACCAGGAGGGAAAGACCCAGTGAAGCCAGGTGGGCGGCGCAGCCAGATCTCCTCGTGCAGGCTGCCCTGCAAGAAAGCTGTGCTGAAGTCGAGAGAGTGCAGCTCGTAGTCACGGTGAGCAGCAACGTGCAGCAGAACCCGAAGAGTGGTCATCTTCGGGGTGGGGGAGAAGGTCTGAAAGTAATCAACCCCCTGCCGCTGACTGAAGCCACGAGCCACGTAACGCGCCTTGAAGACAGGCGGAGAACCCGGCGGCCGCTTCACCCTGAAAATCCACATGCCACTGACGATGTTCGCCCCAGGAGGGGGGACAGCGTCGACGTAGGTGCCTGTGGACTTCCAGGAAGCCATCTCTGCATCCATAGCTGCCTGCCACTGAGAGGAGTAGGGACCCTCTATCGCCTCCGCGTAAGAGCGCGGAGTCGGGATGTCTGGTGCATCCGGGTCTCCCTCAGGGGCTAGCAGTACAGACGCGAGATGGGGTGAAGCGGCGGCCAAACACTGGAACTCCTCCTGCCTGTCCTCAAGGACGTCCGTGCCGAGGGCACACTCACCCCCGACGGACGGAGGACAGGCAGACTCAGACTCAGCGACAAGACTGGCAGCGTAGTCTAGACGACAGCGCGCAGCAAAGTCGACAAGCTCAGTGACAAGGGCAGACGCAGCAGACGACTCGAAGGAAGGGTCAGTGACAGCAGTAGCAAGGAGACGCGTGACAGTAGGACTGGCAGCACGAAGAGAGTCCGACTCCGGGTCGGCAAGAGCAGGAAGAGAGGAAGCTGGAGGAGAAGGCAAAGGGGCACGCAGAGGAGCAGTGGACAAACGCAGTGACATCCGGTGCGTGCCAGGGACAGGAGGAGGACGCTGACGCGACCCGCGACCACTAGCGCGCTCAGTACGAACAGGCGACGCAGGACGAGACGCAGGCTCACGACGCTCAGTAAGGCCTCCAGTCGGACCAGCGTAGGGAGAAGGAGCAGGCAAAGGGGAGGCAGGCTGTAGCTGTGGCTGTGACCGGACAGGCTGCTGACCCTCTAAGGGAGGAGGAGGAGGTGGAAGACCAAGAACCTGCTGCAGGAGCGGAACGAAGTACGGTCGGGGCCGCGCGGCGACGCCAGAAACAGCAGGAACAGCACCAGCACCCCCGGCAGGAGCACCCACTCCAGTAGCACCTCCAGCAGCACCACCAGAAGCTCCAGAACCTCCAGTAGCAGCACCAGGAGCACTGTCAGTCGGACCGCCAGCGGCAGGCTCAGCGCCAACACCCTCAGCAGCACCAGCTCCAGGAGAACTCGCAGACCCAGCAGCTCCAGCACCCACAGGACGAGCACCGCCGGGACGCGCGGCAGCAGTACCCTCTGCAGCCGAAGAACCACCAGCACCAGCAGCACGCCTCCAGCGCCTGGTAAACCACTCACGCAGCTCCTGTGGGGAGAGTGGCTCCCGGCGAGACGAAGCACCCCCAGGCTCAGCACCCCCAGGCTCAGCACCCCTAGGCACAGCACCCCCAGGCTCGGCACCTCCAGGCTCAGCACCCCCAGGCACAGCACCCCCAGGCTCAGCACCTCCAGGCTCAGCACCCCCAGGCTCAGCACCCCCAGGCCCAGCACCCCCAGACTTCGCACCCCCAGGCTCAGCACCCCCAGACTCCGCACCCCCAGGCTCAGCTCCCGCAGCAGCACCAGAGTCACCAGTGACCTCGACAGGCTCGACCGCGTCTACCTGGGACACACCTGAAGGGGCAGGACCCTGAGGGGGGAGGGGGACTACCGGGGGGGGACCTGGTACCAAGAAGAGCGGGGGTGGGGGGAGGGACGGAGTGCGGTAGGGGAAGAGGCGGTAGTAGGGTACCGACTCGTCGAACGTGACGTCCTGGGAGGACAGAACACGTCGAGAGGAGGGGTGGTAGAACTGCCACCCAGGGGCGTCGGGGGGGAACCCTAGGAAGACGCAGGGAGCAGCGCGAGGGGACAGCTTGTCCGCAGACAAGTCGCGGACAAACGCCCGAGATCCCCAGACCCGGAACGCCGACGCATCGCCAACCTTCCCCGTCCACAGCAGGGCTGGGGAGGTCTCCGGCCTGGAGACCCTGGGGTGGAGGTTGATCTGATGCGCTGCGTACCTGACCGCAAACGGCCACAGAAAATGGGGGGCAGCCGCATGCATCATGGACGTACGGGCGACGTCCATGACCATGCCAATGCGGCGCTCAGCAATCCCATTTTGCTGCGGGGAGTCCGGAAGCGTGAAGGACTGGCGGATGCCTCGCGCCCGACAGTAGGCACGCAGAAGGCCAGAGGAGAACTCTCCGCCTCTGTCCGAGTGCAGACGCAACACAGGAAAGTCGGAGCCAAAGCTCTGCCTGAGCTGAAGACGAGCTGCGCGGATCCAGTCGATCAGCACCTCAGTGACCTCACCCTTGCTGCGCAAGGGGAAGACTGTGGTGTAACGCGAGTAGTCGTCAACAACGAGCAGGAAGTAGCGCTCCTGACCCTGTCCACGGACGCGGGCTGGGCCCCACACGTCCATGTGAAGCGTCTGCAACGGGGCCTCTGTCGGAGGAAACTGGGAGGAGTGAGGGGCAGCACGCTGGCGCCCCTCGACACAGGGGACACAGGCAGGGCCAGGGCCCTGAGGAAGGGGAGGTAGAGACCGGGGGAGACCAGACACAAGAAGACGGGAGGCCATGCCTCTGAGCCGAAGCAGAGAGGGGTGGCCAAGGCGGTGGTGCCAGAGGAGGGTCTCGTGAGACAGACGACGACACGAACAGGGGGAAGACTCAGGACCAGACCTGGACGCCGCGGCAAACACCTGACCAGACGAAGGGACCCTACCAGACTCAGTACCTGGAGGAGAAGCAGTGGTCAGTGTGTACAGGCTCGACCCTGGCCGACGTGTAAACGTAGCCAGGTGGCGTCCCGTGCTAGCCTCCGTGCAGTGGGTCACTCGCTGACGAGCAGGAGTGAACTGGTGGACACCCGCATCCTGTAGGTCAGCACCACTCACCAGGTTCGTCGAGAACGAGGGGAGGTAGAGACAAGACAGGGTGCCAGAGGGGGCCGCCGGAGACGGAAGTACCGTGGAGAAGCGAGACAGGACAGGCCCCCCAGAGGGGTCAGCCAGGGACACCGCAACCGGCCGACTCAGCGGCGTGAGAGTAGTGCGGTCCCGAAAGAAGGAGCGAGACGCTCCAGAGTCAAGTGTGAAGGTGTGAGAGGCCGAAGCCGACACAGTACGTGAGAGGGCAGACTCACCAGTACCTGAGAGCACAGACGCACTGGCACCTAGAGCAGCAGCCTCACTAGTACCTGACGCAGCAGTACCAATGCCCGGGTCGGGCGGGAAACACCGGTAACAGTCATCCTCATCACTACCAGTCACAGCATACATAGCAGAAAGAATAGCATCAAAGTCAAGATCATAAATGGCTACACCAGCCCTAGACAGCTCCCCCCAGCGGGGGATCTCAGCGGCCTCCGGAAACTGCTGACGCCAGGCGTCGGTCAGGCGGCCAAAGCAGCGGCGGGCTGTGTGGGTGCCTCCACACCTCTCCCCCGCACGGTCGCCGGTGCGAAGAACGTAGGGGAAGGGACCAAACGCACCACCACGCTGACGCTGCAAGTACCACTCACGGAGCTGCTGAGGGGCGGGGACGGTGCGAGAGCGCTGCTGCTGCTGCTGCTGCTGCTGCTGCTGCTGCTGCTGCTGGCGCTGACCACCCCCAGAGCTGCTCCGCTGGGACGAGCCACTCCGACCCCCGCCGCCACCGCCACTCCCGCCTCCACCACCGCCCCCGTCTCCACCGCCACCGCCCCCACCGGTACCCTCGCCCCCGCCTCCTCCGCTACCGCCTCCGCCGCCACCTCCGCCTCCACCGCCTCCACCAGTACCTCCACTCCCGCCACCACCTCCACCGCCACCCCCACTCCCCCCGCCACCCCCACCTCCTCCGCCACTGCCTCCTCTAGCTCCACCCGCTCCCTTGCCCCCCTTGCCCTTGCCAGAGCGGCGTCTACCGCTGGGGGCAGACGCCGCACCGACCGACTCAAAACCAGTGAGGTCGGCTGCAGCGGCAGAGGCGACAGAGGGCAGCAGGGGGGAAGGAGAACACCCCTCAAAGATGGGGGTGCGAGGGTCACCCCGAGAGGCCCCTACAGCGACTATGCTCTTCTCAGCCGCTAGCAGGGACTCCTCAAGGAGGTCGACAGTGAGGGTGGTGGGACAGACAGAGAGAAACTGGTCCCTAACGACACGAAGGGACTCAGGAAGACGGGTGACAAGAAAGTAGAGAGTGATGTACATGGGAGGAGGGTTGGCGGCGCGGAACTCAGCAGGAAGGGCAGCGCGGTAGCGAGCGTCACTAGCGCGGAGGTGGGTAATGAGGTCAGCGACAGTGGGAAAGGCAGCGAGGTCAGGGAAGAGAAAAGGTAGCATGAGGCGGCTCAGCGTAGCGGAGGAAGGGGAGGAGTAGCGTGCAACTACAGCGTCGTACAAGGCCTGAGCGGTCTTGCACTGACTAAAGTGGGCACGCTCGGAGGAAGGGAGGTGGCGACGCACAGCAAGACGTGCAGCAGCATCGCGGGTCGCCCACTTGGAGCGAACGGCGGAATCAGCATCAGTAGGAGGGGCAGGGACAGCGCCAGAGACAAAGTCAAAGAGAGAGACCTCATCGATCACATCACACAGTAAGTACAGCTGCAGGTCTTCAATCCAGACTGCAAAGTCAATGGCTCTACCCTCAGTGTCAAAAGCTAGGACATTGGGGGTGGCCATGACAGCAGCTGACAGTCTCACCGGGCAGGAAGAGTCGGGTAGGTCAGCGGCGCAGGTACACAGCCCAGGAGCAGCAGGAGCCCGACAGGAGCAGGAGTGCCGCTCCTCTGGCGGCTCGGGCAGCTCGGGCGGCTCGGGCGGCTCGGGCGGCTCGGGCGGCTCGGGCGGCTCGGGCGGCTCGGGCGGCTCGGGAGGCTAGGGCGGCGCGGGCGGCTCGGGCGGCTCGGGCGGCTCAGGCGGCTCGGGCGGCGGCACGGGCGGCTGGGGCGGCTCGGTGGCGGCTCACGGGCGGCTGGGACGGCGCGCGGGGAGCTCAGGGGCGGCTGGGCGGGCGGCCAGGGCGGCTCACGGGCGGCGGCGGCGGCGTCGGCGGCTCACGGGCGGCGTCGGCGGCGTCGGCGGCTCACGGGCGGCGTCGGCGGCGTCGGCGGCTCACGGGCGGCGTCGGCGGCGTCGGCTGCTCACGGGCGGCGTCGGCAGCTCACGGGCGGGCTGAAGGCCCACGGGTGGGCGGTTCGCGGGCAGCGCCGGCTCACGGGCGGGCGGCGTGACGGGCGGCAGCGTCACGGGCGGGCGGCGTGACGGGCGGGCGGCGGGACGGGCGGCGGCGTCACGGGGGGGGCGACGTGACGGGCGGCGGCGTCACGGGCGGCGGCGTCACGGGCGGCGGCTCACGGGCGGCTGCGTCACGGGCGGCGCTCACGGGCGGCGGCGGACGAGCGGCGCTAACGGGTGGCGCGACGGGCGGCGGCTCACGGGCGGCGCTACGGGCGGCGGCTCACGGGCGGCGCTACGGGCGGCCGCACGGGCGGCGCTAACGGGCGGCCGCACGGGCGGCGCTACTGGCCGCGCAAAGGGCGGCGCGAACGGGCAGCCGCACGGGCGGCGCTAACGGGCGGCGCTAACGGGCGGCGCCAACGGGCGGCTCGAAAGGGCGGGCGCTAGGGCGGGCGCTAGGGCGGGCGCTAGGGCGGGCGCCAGGGCAGAAAAAAAAAAAGTTCTAGGTGGTGGGCCCGAAGCACAGTTCCCACAGGGGAACCTGCTCTGATTCCATGAGAAGAAGTGAACGAGAGAATGAGTGAACTATGAACGAAGTGGGTACAAATAGGAAACCCTAACTGGGTTGTACCCCCTATGGGATACCCCACTATAGCCTACATAAATGAGTAAGCTATAATGTTCTGACATACAGTACTTCGATCTTTAATAGACGGGATATTATGAACCACCATACGTCACAACTGTAATATTTTTTTTTTTAAGTTGAGAAAATATTTGATTTTTGATTGGCAGTATGATGTGTTGCGTGGGTATAATAAAATGTGCAAACAAAAGGATACACCAAGATGACCAATAGTGGGTAACGAATCGATGACGAGATAAGAATGGCACATATCTATATCATTTAATTGTCAACAATCAAACTAGCAACAGATTGGAACTTGTAGCAAGAGGAACAAACTTACACTACATAATATATTTTGCCGACTTGGGTGAACAGTATTATCACCCAGCTGGCTAGGGTTTTGTTGCCCTCCCACCCAACCGCTCCTCCCTATGTTGCCCTCGAGGCTTTCTCTCACGCCCTTTCCAACTTTCGCGATATCAATCAAGAAAGTCAACTACCTCAGGTACTAACGAATGCTACCTTGTTAGTGTCAACGAATGCTACCTTGTTAGTGTCTAAGCTGCGCGCCTAGAGCGCTTGTCCTCCCTCGTGCATTACGCAATAGCATATAATAGAGCACTCGGCCTTGTGCGTAAGTCGCTGGCGCCGTTGGGCGCGCGCGCCGTTGGCGCTGGCGCCTTTGGGCGCAGGCGCTGGCGCCTTTGCGCGCTGGTGCTTGTGCCTTTGGGCGCTGGCGCTGGTGCCTTTGGGCGCTGGCGCTGGCGCCTTTGCGCGCTGGCGCTGGCGCCTTTGCGCTCTGGTGCTTGCGCCTTTGGGCGCTGGCACCTTTGCGCGCTGGTGCTTGCGCGTTTGGGCGTTGGCACTGGTGCGTTTGGGCGCTGGCGCTGACTCCTTTGCGCGCTGGCGCTGGCGCATGGCGCCGTGGGCGCTGGCGCTGGCGCGGCGCATTTTGGCGCCGTGGGCGCTGGCGCCTTTGCGCGCTGGTGCTTGCGCGTTTGGGCGCTGGCGCTGGCGCCTTTGCACGCTGGCGCTGGCGCCTTTGCGCACTGGCGCTGGCGCCTTTGCGCGCTGGCGCTAGCGCATGGCGCCGTGGGCGCTGGCGCTGGCGCCTTTGCGCGCTGGTGCTTGTGCCTTTGGGCGCTGGCGCCTTTGCGCGCTGGTGCTTGCGCGTTTGGGCGCTGGCGCTGGCGCCTTTGCGCGCTGGCGCTGGCGCCTTTGCGCGCTGGCGCTGGCGCATGGCGCCGTGGGCGCTGGCGCTGGCGCTGGCGCTTTTGCGCGCTGGCGCTGGCGGCGTGGGCGCTGTCGCCGTCTGCACTGGCAGCGTGGGCGATGACGCTGTGGGCGCTTAGAACCTAGGGCGATGTCCCTAGAGCGCTCGTGCCTAAGGCGCTGCGGCGTAGGCCGATGGCGCCTTGGGTGTTCTCTAGCGCCAAGCCCGCCGGCCTTGTATTCGTTGGTTTGGCACTATGCGGTTTCCCTCGCGTTCTAGTGCAAAGCGCGAAATCATCGTATGCACATGCCTTGCGTTTGCTGATATCACGCGCACATGCTCATAACTATCACCCTCCCCTTTCCCGCCCGTTCCCGACACTCGCCGTCCAGAGATTTCACATGCGAGGGCTCTTATCGGCGGCGGAAGCAGCAACGCTGGGTGCGAGCATCGTCGGCACAGGTGAGCGAAAAGGGTTAGAGGAGTGGAGATAGCGAGAGGGAGAGAAATAGGGTGAATGGTGAGTAAGAGAGAGGGAGAGTTAGAGAAAGAGCGATAGAGAGAGAAGGAAAGGGCAGGGGTTGGTTGAGTTTTAGAGAAGTACGGAGGCTGAGATCTGTAAGAAAAGAATGTTTGCGCATTGTGACCTATTGTGAGTGGCTTCTAGGATGCTTGGCTGAAACACGCTTTCGTAGTGTGATGCACTTGCGTTTTGTGAGCTAGCGCCACCTGCTTGTTGGTGTTTAGTGCGCTTACTGTGAAATTCGAAACCTATGGCTTTGCTGTAGCCTGGTGCCGTGGGCACAGGAGCCCCGTGCCCTTGCGCCATTGGCGCGGACCCCGTGGGCACTGGATCCTTAGGCGTTTGGCTTAGGGCGCTGGGGCCTTGGGCTTGAGCGCCATGAGTGCTGGCCCCAAAGGCGCTTGCGCCGTTGGCGCGGGCGCCGTAGGTGTTAGCGCTCAACGCCCTTGCCCTTATGGCGCGAGCGCCTTGAATACTACCCCCTAAGGCGCTTATGTCGCTTGCGATTAGGGCTCTGCACCGTGCGCGCTTGTGCTTAGGGCGTGAGTGGGTGTGAGTGGTTGCAAGGGCGAGTCAAGAGTGTGCGAGAGGGTGAGTGCGGGTGTGAATCTAGGTGCTTGTGTGGATGTGAGTGCGAGAGTGAGATGCGCGCGAGGGTGAGTGCAGTTGTGGGCGGAAGGGCGAGTGCGAGGTTGAATTAGAGAGCAAGCGCATGAGTGAGTGCGAGAGTAGTGAGAAGGTGAGTGAGAAAGCAAGTTTGAGAGTGAGTGCGAGTGTGAGTGCGAGGGCGAGTTTGAGGGTAAGTGCGCGCGTGATTGTGTGTGTGCGTGCGAGGTAGAGTGCAAGGGAACACGAGGGTGCGATTGAGTGTGTGTGAGGGTGAGCGCGAGGACATATGCAAGGGTGTGTGTGTTTTTGTAAGTGTCAAAGAAGAGTTGAGAGTATATTTGTGTGAGTGAAGAGTGAGTGCGAGAGTGTGAGGCTGAGTGAGTGAGTTGGTGGCTGCAATGTTGAGTGCATGCAAGGGTGATCGTGGTGTGAGTGTAAGAGTGAGTGCGAGGGTGAGTACGAGTATGTGCAAGAGAGAGTGGGAGAGTGAGGGCGAGCAGGACTGAGAGAAGGAGTGCGAGCGTGAGTGTGGGCGTGGCTGTAGGTGCGAGCGTGGGTGTGTGTGCGAGTTGAGTTCGAGTGTACGAGCGGCTGTGTGTGCGTGTGCGTGTTCGAATGAGTGCAAGGGTGAGCGCGAGCGCGAGTCCGAAGGTGAGCGTGAGGGTTTATGTGTGTGTTTCTGTGAGTGTGTCTCAGAACGGTTAGAAGTACTTGTGTGTTCGTGAGTGGTTGCGAGCATGAGTGCGAGAGAGTGTGAGAGAATGAGTGCGGGTGTGAGTGCGAGTGAGTGCACGCATGCTCTTGAGGGTGCATAAGAGTGTGTGTACGAGGGTGAATGCGAGAGGAAGTGCGAGCATGAGTGCGAGAGTGAATGCGAAGGTGAGTGCAAGGGTCAGTGCAAGAGCAAGTGTTAGAGTGAGAGAGTGAGTGTGAGTACGAGTGTGAGTGCAAGTGAGTGTGCGAAAGTGAGTGCAAAGGTGAGTGCGAGGGTGCGGGTGTGAGTGCAATGGTAAGTGCGAGGGTGAGAGCGAGGGTACGTGCGAACATGAGTGCGAAGATGAGTTTGAGGGTGAGTGCGAGGGTGCGTGCAAGGGTGCGTGCGAGTGTGCGTGCTAGTGCATGCGAGTTTTGTGTGAGTGTGAGAGTGCAGGGAGTGTGTGTTTCTGTGAGCGTGTATAACAGAAGTTGGGAGCGATAGTGTGTACGTGAGTTGGAAAGTGAGTGCGAGAGTGAGGTGTGAGGATGAGAGTGTCAAGGTGAAGGCGAGGGTGGCAGCGAGGTATTGCGTGCATGTTGGCGTGGTATGTGTGAACGACACGATATCTTTTACCGAATCGATGTCAAATTTGATTGCTTTCGTCCCTCATCTTTATTTTTGTACTTCATTCTTCATCAGCGCCTTGTTATAACTCTTACCTCGTTTCTT